TTTTTGTATTATATGTATCACCCAATCCAAAATTTGTCTATAAATTAGTAAATTCAAACTTCAAAAATGTCAACATCCATTTGACCGGTCATTAACAATAAGCAGAAAAGTGTGCTACAAATAAAACAATAAGAAAGATAGTGATAAATAATAATAATAATAATAATAATAATAAAACTCAAATTACATATGTGTCCATATATTCAAAATATTAAATTTTAATCGTCATGTCGCATTTTCATCCACATTTTCATATGGACATAAGGAGTGAATTGACATTTACATAGTATCGCAAAAAAAGATAAAAAAACAAAAACAAAACAAAATATAAAATTATCAACAAAATATCACTGGACATAATATTAATATTAATAAATTTTAACTTGTTTAAATAGAGTGAAATGTTTATTTTTTATTTTAAATTTTTATAAGAGTAAATTGTAATGAGTAGCAAAAATCTTTTATGTATTTCAAAATATTATACTTGTTTTCTAAGTAAAAATTTTCAAATATAGCAAAGAATTTCACTTATATCTATAGTATATCAGATATTCATGTCAGTAGTATATCAGACACTCATATCAATAGTATATTAGATATATATCACATACATATTGCACGGACATTCATATCAGTATTATATCAAATACATATCACATACATATTGCAAGTATATCAGACACTCATATCAGTAATATATCAGATGTATATCACATACATATATCAGTAATCAAATGTATTACATATATATTACAAATATATTTCATTTGTATAAAGTTGTCATTTTAAAATTGAACCTCTGTTGTTTTTTTTTCTTCTAAATTGCTATATTTAAGAAAAAATAAACATAGTTGCTATTTTGCTAATTTTACTAAATTCTTTTGCTGTATTTGCAACTGTCTCATTTTATAATGATTTTTTTAATTCTTATAGTTTTTTTAAAAATATCCAAGTATACCGTGATAATTTTATCGATATTTCTGTTGACATTTCCATTAACATTTTGCATATACTTTAACTTTAAAATCAAATTGTCTTTTACACTTTTAAAACTTTTATTATTGTCCCATTTAGTAATTAACTTATTAAATCATATATTTGTCCATTATTAGTAAATAAATTATACTTAAAAAAAATCGATTGGAGCATAATTCAACGGTTAAAGACATACTCACAAATTAACTTATGTTTAAAAGAACATTGAAAACAAAATTAAGTCTCAACACCCTCATTTATTCTGTCAACTAAAATAACTATAACCTTGTTTTAAATTTATGCTTTTTAACTAATGCACTGACTTGATACCCTAAAAAACATTGGAATATAAAATGTTGAAGATGATAGGTCACATTTATAAATAACTTGGTGGTTATATTTCGAGTATCCCGCGTTAATGAAAATGATATTTAAAAAGCTTTGACAAAAAGAAATAAGGATCATAATAAAAAAAATTTAGAATCATAGAGACCAAATTGACATTAAATAGTTAAAAAATAGTGATTAAAATGGTAATTTAAACTAAATAAATCACTAAATAATTTGGATATGTGTTGAAAATATATAGTTTTCTTTCTTAATTTTCAATATTTTGAAAAATAAAGTTTTCTTTTTTTTTTTTTTTGATAAAATTGAAAAAAAAGTTGTTCACACACATTTGGCGAAATGAATGATATGGTCTACAAACATTTCATGTGAATTATTTAGATTAATATTCACGTGGGGTTGCAGAGGTTGCACCCTAATTAATTTTGCTTTTTATGATGAAGCTTAATTAGTGGTGACAAATTAATGACACTTAATAATAATTCACATTAAGGTATTATTAATTTGATATAATTACCAAACATCTAAATTGGGTTCAATTACCCTCTTAACCATCATTTTTCATCCTAAACGCAAATGGTTAAGCCATTAATTATAATCTCAACTAAAAAGCTAGGGCATCTGATCCACATCCCCACATGAACTCATAAATAAAATAAAAAATAAAAAAATCATACCTTCATTTTAAAATTAGGTTTAAATTCTACTTTCCTCTTATAGTTTTAAGTTTGGTTCATTTTTCTTTATGTACTCTCAAAATATCTCTATTTTGATTTTTGTATTTTTAGATTTTTGCATTTTATCATTTTGATATGCGTAATTTCAAAAGGTCTATTTTGTCCTTATACTTAAAAAAATTGCATGCACAATACTAGCTCTCAATAAAGTTATTGAAATATTGTAATTTTACAAATAGAGACAAAAATATATAATTTTTATAAGCACAAGGATCAAAATTTTTATTTAGATAGTACATAGACTAAAATAGACAAAACTTTCAACAATAATCAAACACACAACGATCATTAATATATAGGAGTTAGAAAAGGTAAAACTGAGAGTCCAAACATTCAGAATAGTGTTTAAATCTTAAAACTAATATGATTATAGAAATATATTTATCTTGTATTTAAGATCAGTAAAATGTTTATAATCATATATAGTTATTTAGTAATGTTTTTGTTTGTTATCTTTTTTTTATTATTATTTGAAAAACATATACGTTGGATAAGTATTTCTTATTTTCTAATTTCAGAAATCTTCTCAAAGTCAAAACTACACAAAAATTTAACAATTTCTAAACATTATTTTATTAATTTTGGCTTGGTAAAATTAAGAATTTTGAAAACTAATTTCTCTCTTTTTTAAATAAATAATAATAAAACAAGAAAAAAAATAAATGATCAAATACATATAATTTCCTTTCCTAAAATGTAGTGGATCCACTTGAAACTAGGTAGTCAATGCAAACCCATATTAAGTTTTTATTTAAAAATATAAGATACAACTTATTGTGGATTGAATAGAGTTTTGACTTTGAAACTGTATGTTCATTTCCCTACAAGTCATTATTCTCAAAAAGGAAAAACTTTAGGGATGTATTTTTAGATGTCATTTTAAATAAAAATATTTTAACTTATTATTATTTTTTATTGGCATGATTAATAGTTCCTCATGTAAAATTTAAAGAGAAATAAAATATTTAAAATTTTAGAAACTATTACTAAAATATTTTAAGATTTAAGAATTAAAAATTGAATATTATAAAAGTTCAAGGATTAAAATAAGATTGAAATGAGACCTATTAAATAAAAATAAAACAGCATAAATTTCTCCTCCAATAATTTTCATATGCAATAATATAGAGTGGAATACTTGAGGTTAGTACAATTATAAAACTATGAAATCAATTGGTTTCACACTGCAAATGAACAATACATGCAACAATGACTTCAAGTTGTTAAGCGACAACTCTCTAGTATCTTGGAGTCTTTTTCTTTTCTAACTATGAGAAGAAAGGACCAAATCACATCTATTGTTTCGCGTTTTTCAAGTCGATAAATAGTAAAATAAACTACATTCTTTTCCCTCATATGACACATATGGATACTCAAAATTACAAAGGATGGTCCAACTTGCAAAACAAGAATGTTTAAGAAGTTGAATTATGTGAGGCTTGTAAATGCTCAAATGGGAGGTGATAGCAAGAGAAAAAAATAACAAAAAACTTTTAAAGTTTAGCGGTTATAATACTTATTTCACTGTCTTTGTAAATCTTCCATTGGAAACCCCATCTCGCTAGGATTTTTCTTTTTGTAGCCTTTCGGTGCTTAATTTCAACACTTTTGTTTCTCTTTCCCCAATTTTCCGTCCTCCTAATTCTCTGATTTCTTCGTTCTTAAATTCCATTTCGTTTTCCCACCTTCGATCCTCAAAATCCCCATTTCCCCAATCGCCAAAAAGCTGAAGAAAAAAGAAAAAAAGCTGCAGATTCTGACCTCCTTGTTCCCCAAATTCAATTCAAACTTCGTTTTCCCACTCTCTTCCTTTTCAATCTCCCGGTTTGTTGTTGTTCTTCACTTTTTGTTCGTTTGTTCGTTCTCTCGGACTGCGGAATTGGAGAAATTCGTGGTTATGGCGATCGAAGTTTGCTCGGAGATTTCCAGTGTAGGAATCAGTCCGAGAATCTCGTTTTCGCACGATCTGAACCAGACGGATTTGTTGCCTTCATCCGATGGAAGTCGCGATCGTCTCGACTTGACTCTGCTCGAATCCGATTTCGATTTCTGCATTGGCAATCTTCTGATTCAAGATCTCTCCTCCGCCGATGAACTCTTCTCCAATGGCAGGATTCGCCCCGTCCAAATCAAGAAATCTCTCGACGCGAACACACAATTAGTTCATAAACCTAATGAATCTGCTCCGATTGCTCCTCCCGAGCCTTCCAGAAATTCGATCTCCTCCGAGAAGAAGAGCCTCAAAGAGCTTCTCTCCGCGAGTTTCGATGCCGATGAGAAACCGCAATCGAAATCGTTCTGGCAATTCAAACGTAGCAGCAGTCTCAATTGCGAAAGCTCCAAGAGTCGAAGTCTGATTCGATCGCTGCATTTTCTGTCGAGGAGCAATTCGACTGGTTCCTCGTTGAATCCCAAACAGCAACCGAACTCCAAGGATTCTTCGTCTCAGAGGCCGAATTTGCAGAAACAGCCATCGATTTCGAGTAGGAAATCGTCGGCATCTTCTTTCCCCAACTCATATTTCACAAATTCATCCTCACAGAAGTCTTCGACGAGGAAGAATTTCGGGCCGAACAATGGCAATGCGGTCCGAATCAGTCCGCTTCTCAATCTCCCTCCGCCATACATTTCCAAAGTAACTGTAAGTTTTTTCGGATTCGGTTCTCTGTTTTGTAATGGTAAGATAAAAAAGAAGAAGAAATGAAAAAAAAAAACCCCCCCAAAAATCAAAAACCAATTCTGTGTTCATAAAATTCCTCCCACTCGAAACTGAATCTTCCAAGTACAGATTAGATTGATTTCATCTGTGTATCATTTCTGTTTCATGAGCAACAACATGTGATCACTCTCTGCAAATCCCAACTAATTAAAAACTGAATCATATTCCATTTTGAAAAGAAGATGGTGGAAATTCAAGAATGGGGAAATGGGAAATGGGAAATGAACAGTCATTGGGTAAAAAAGGTTCCACTCACATCAACAATGTATAGAACCTAGGAGACACATAAACAAAACAAATTGATGCCATTTTCAATGGCTAAAACCCATCTCAATTCTCTGTTCTCTCCTCTTTTTTTTTTTTTTGCTTGCCCCAATTTTTGGTTTTTTTTCTTTTTCTTCCTCAATAATTAATCTTATGGGCTGTCTCTTTGTTCTTTTCAACTCTGATTGAAGGCTTCTTTTAGTTTTTTCTGTCTCTATGATTGCCATAATTTCATGTGGGAATCCCCTCTTTTTTCTCTCTCTTGTAATAACTGGTTTTTCAACAGCCCTTTTTTTCTTCTCTTTCTTGGGGTTAAAGGGTTTGGGAATTCCAAAAGAGAGTTGAAAGGGGTAATAATGGTATTAATATTAGGGTCCCCTTTAACTTTAACTTTTAAGTTTGTCTTCATTAGCTTGGATTTAATACAAGTATTGCATTACATAAAAAGGGAGTGATTTATATTCTTTTTGTTTATAAATTTTTAGATGGTAATAAGACAAAGTAAAGAATAGACACTAGTCAATTTATCAATCCCTCCCTTGTTTCTACTCTCATTTCTTTTTCCCAGAAACTATCTATTCTTTCTTTTTAATTTTCATTTGTAGATGTGGAAAACAGATATATATCAGTTAAATTTACATAAATAAATATGTTTTGAGAAAAAAAGAGATAAATTTGTAAGTCTGATGTTTGATTAATAAATTATATGTTTAATTTTTATTTTCTGTAAGTTGTTGATTAAATAAAGATGAATCCTTTGAAATCAAAGACTAAAATTAATAAAAGAAAAAAAAAATGTCTTCATTCTCATCCTCATTTTAATTGGAATATTCTCATCTGAATAAGATGGGTTGGTGCTGGAATACGGATCCGGAATTTTAAAATAAACAAAAATTAAAAAAATAATAATAATTAGAGTTGGGAAGGGAGGCAAGAAAGAGAAATATGGACTAAATCTTGTTCCTACCACTATTAAAAAATTGACACCTTGTTAATTTTTATAAAAAAAAATCTTTATTTTTGCATTTCTATCTCTTAATTGTCAAACATTTAAGAGTGGTGAAAACAAGATGGCTTGGAACCAAATATTTTTAAGCATGAAATATCTAAAATAATAATAAATACATAAATTTAGGCTCGAGATCGAAAAATTTAAATGGAGAGGGATGGATTACGACATTTAATAATTGAGTAAAAAATTTAAAATTTAACACTTTACTAAGTTTGGAGAAAGAAAATCTCGTATTCATTTTTTAGTAATATGATGGAGGAGATTTTTTCGGAAAATCTTGTATTCAACAAAAATAAATAAATAAATAACAAAAACAAAAATGAAAAAAACAAAAAAAACAAAAAAAATTATGTCCATTTTATTCTAGTGATATTTTTTCTATATTTATTCTTTTTTTTTTTACGATACTATAGAAATGTCGATTAATTCCATATATCGATGTTTAATCTATAGACATGAAAATGTCTACGTGTCAATGTAAATTTAATACGAGGTAGAGCTTGAGGCTTATTAGCCACATGAAAAAGGGAGCGAATCCTCAAAAATAAAATGAGTTTGTAATGACCATCACAAGAAAGTCGCCCCTCATCATTAGTGTTTTTTTTAGTGTTTTTTTTAGAGTTCACAATATTTTCTCTGGCATTCCTTTCTATTGATGAAGAGGTTACTTGTCTGGAAGCTCAAGTTTACCATGGATCTTAGGATTTATATAATTAAATCTAAAAGCTTGTATATTTTTTTTTCCTTTTTAAATAAAGATCCTAATCAAGATATGATTTTGTCAAACAACTAGTTAAGACATGTATCTTTGTCTTTCAACTTATGCTGTACCAAAAAAAACAAAAAAAAAATGTATACATAATGTTAACCATAACAACTTTTAACTCATTTAAAAATTGTGAAATTCTTGTTTGTTAATTTAAATTTTTTTTTTTTTTACAAAATGTTTTATTTTCATGATTTTTTCCATAATATCTATTATCATCTCCATTTTTTAATATTTTCATCGACAAAATATTTTAAACCTGGATATAAACTTCATTTTAATCCATTTAAATGATATTTGGATTTATATATTATATGGAACAAGAAAAATGGGAACACATGAGGCGAAAACTTTTGGGTATTTTGTTTGTTACTTGTTAATTAAAATAGAAATTCAAACTCTAAAAATGCATTCAGTGAGACTTACTTTTGACAATTAGCTTGCGCTACACAAATGGTTGAGTTAAAAATATAATCTTTATCAAAAGAATATAAATCATCAAAAAGAATTCTTAAAAGAAAAAAATAATAAAGAAAAGGCAAAGAGCAATATGGTAGCAATTTGTTTCAGAGATGATGAGATTTCATCTTCTTTCTTTTTGTTTTGGGGTTGAAAATTGAAAACTCATATTTTCACTAATAAAGAGACTCTACATGTTCAAAAAATCCGATAACCTGACGAACCCGACGAACCCAACCTAAACCGTAAGGGTTGGGTTGGGTTAGATGAAGCCTTGGGTTGGGTTGGGTTGCGATTTTCTCAATCCGATCGGGTTGGGTTGGATCTCGGGTTCAACCTTTAAAAAATTAGGTCAACCCAACTCAATCCAAATTTATGCATATATGTGTATTTTTCTGAATTATATATATAATAATATATTTATCTTCAATGTTACCGTCTATTTAGTGTTAATCATCACCTTTTATTTAAGGTTTTCATATTATCTTCTTCCATTTTTTTATCTTAATCCCAACTGTCCATTAAGTTTTAATCCTAACTTTCCGTCGCCATCGTGATAATTAAGAATAAAAAATAAAAATAAACACAAACCGACAACCCTACCCGACCCAACCCAAAAATATTGGGTTGGGTTGACCATTCAATTTAAACCCGATGGTTCCTATATATGGCCAACCCGGAAATTCAGGTAGGTCCCAAAACCTCTCCTACCCTACCCAACTCAACCCGTGAACACCCCTATCTACGCCCCAATTCCACAACAACATTTATAAGATAACATTTTTCATTAATTTATTAATTATTATTATTATTAGATTAAATAGGATAGAATAGAATATTTATAATGGATATAAGAATAGTTGTTTTAAAAGATTACTATTTTACTGTGTAATGTAATAAGAGTTTGTTAGTCAAAGTTCAGGTCAAAGTTAAGAATAAGTTGACTATGGATTTCGTAGCTAGTTGGGGTCTGTGATCGACGCGACTCGTTCTAAGACTAGTATGTGTTTTGAGTGGGTAATGTCAACTATGGATTCTAGAATTACGTTCTTTCCAAATATGTGATATAGATGCACGCAGTCCAAGAAAGCCTCTATAACCGACATCTAAATGATCGACCTCTACTAATACGACAAATCTACTTTAACTTTGTACCCCAAAGACAAATACGGTTTAAAAAGCATGTCGAAGCAATCACACCACCCCAGAAAAATTTACTATACATACAATCAAAGAAGAGGTAGTCTTAGGTCTCAATCTCACCTAAACAAAAGACACAAGAACCTGGACTAGAAGAACACAAAGAGCGAATAAGATCACGAGTCGATAGATGTCCCAGAGTTCTTGAAACTAAAGATCCCTCGATTCAAACATCAGTTGTCTACACTATTGTTCTTGTGTTACTTGCCACATGGCCCATCACAGAGCACTTTCTCACTTCTTTTCTCACTTCTTTAGTAAGATCAGTGTGAAATTATCCTCCACAAGACTCTTGATCTTTTTTCAGGGCTTGGGTACGAGAACATAATGTTTGGAAATCTAGCTCGACGATCACAGCCAACCAACCCAAGATTGAATATTTAAAGATACAACTAGACAATCAAATCACATGATGTCAAGGCACCTAGGAGCCTCTAGGGCGATGATGGGCATCCCAAAGATTCGAACGTACAAGATTTGTCATGATCTTGAAGTGCTAGATCATTTATTTTACAAATTCAAATAACCTTATGATATATAGAGTTTGTTGCGACTCACTTCTAGAACAGTCTCATGACTTAATGCCCTCAGCTTAAAGTTCGATCTAGGTCTAGCATAGATCCAATCTAGGTCTAGTTTAGAGTGATTGATCAACATAATTTAACCCATTTAACTCAAATATAATCCTATTTAGAAGTCGGACAATATTTGGATAGCAAACCAATTCAACAATGTATAATTAAGACAATTAAAAAACATATACTATATATATAATACTTTAAATATTATAATTTATTTATTTCAAAAGTTAAATTTTAATTCTTTTCTAGAAACACTTTTTTATATTTTAAATATTTTAGTTGAAAGTTAATTGAAAAAAAATCAGAGAAATGACTAATAAATTTCTTTAAAATAAAACTTCAGAACTTTATAACAGTTGAAGGATAAATATCAACATATCATAAATTGTCATGTCATTATTTCTTGGACCAATTACAAATTTACCTTGTCTTTAAATTAAATTAAAAGGCATGAAAATTGGCCAATTAAATAAAGTCATTGCGTCATAAAATGTTCTTATCATAAGTGGCTATTTATGACGTGAAATATAGATAAAGTTGATAAACCTAAATCAACTAAAACAATGGGCCAAATTCAAGTAAAGTCAGAAATCGGGCCCAAAGTCCAAGGCCAAACAAGCTCAAAGCTAAAGTTAGCATATGCTCAGCTGGTAAGTCTAAATCCATATAAGGTAGGTGGAAAACTCTATAAATGGAGGAGGGATTAGTCTTTTATGGAGGAGGAAACCATTTCAAGAAAGAGAAAGATTTTCAAAAAGTTTAGAAGCTAGAGAATTGAGAAGACTTCCAAACAATCAAAGACACACTAAAGATCACACGATCACCGTGTGAAAACAAGACTTCGAGTGCAAAAGATTTGATCCAAGTTCTATTACAAGCGCCCCAAAAGAAAGTAAATTCAAAATATCAATATAATAAATTTTTTTTTTTGTTAAGAAAAGGCTTAAAAATGTATTTTCATTTTAAATTAACAAGTTATTATCCAAAAAAATCAGTCTCATGTCATTCAAAATCTTGATCCAAATAAGTGAAATCATGGACCAGACCATGACTTGATGGTTGCTAGAAGGCCCAGGCTCAAATATCATCTTAGGTTTGTTAGGCCCGTTCGAGCATTTTAGCTAATTTTGCTCGTTTGGTTAAAGTTGATTTTTGACGAATTAAATTTTTAAAATTTAAGACTAAGTTAGG